CAACCAATGTTTCTTCTATTACTGTTCTTCCACTTGTTCCTTCTATTATCGTTCACTAACTTCCATTTATCGAACCTCTGGTCCATATGATAAAAAAAAAATCAGAAAAATTATGTTTTGTTGATATCAAAAGATGGAAATAGAAAATGTTATTTTATCTCACGACGCTAAATTTGGCTAAATTTTTTGTTGAGTATGCTACTGTAGTACAAAAAGGAAACATAACAAGGCATCATTAATTGGTTTGGATGCATGAAAACATTTTGAATTTTAATGTAAGAATCACATCTTATATATATTGGACAATACGCTATACAACGTGTATAATGCCATGAAACCTACTAAGGAATTATGGAATCTTTGGAGAAAAAGTACAAGACTGAAGATACCGGTACAAAGAGGTTCGAAGGCAAGTTTTGAATCTATAAGATGGTAGATTATAAAATAGTGATTAGTCAAATACAATCATTGTAGGTTCTTCTTCATGATATTCATGATGAGAATATGTCTCTTAGTAAAACTATTCAAGTGGTCGCAATTATTGACAAATTACTTCCTACATGGAAAGATTCTAATAATTATCACAAATACAAGCGCGAGGAGATGACTATTAAGAACTTAGTATCTGATCGAAAATTAAAGAAGTCAAAGGAAGTCTTGGAGGCCATTTTTCACATAAAAGGCTAATGTAGAGGGAACTAACTCGAAAAACAAGAAAATGAAGCAACCTGGAGACTCCTCTAAGTAGAGTAATAACAAGAATGCAAATAAGTTCAAGGACAATTGCATAGCATACATAAGATTGCCAATAGCAGAGGCATAAGCAATTTTGTCTCATTCTTGTTCTGTAGAGGATGACTAGCCATTTGATAACCTGAAGTGACTAGCCAAATGAGTGCTAACTGATTTTGCTGAACCTACTTGGAACCTTATTTAGATTTTCTTCCTATGACAATTTCAAGAAGTTAATGTCCCTAGTAATTTTCATTCCAAGGATTTAATTTATATAAGAATCACAAGGCATCATTGATTGCTTTGGATGCATGAAAACATCTTGAATTTTAATGTAAGAATCACATCTTATATAGATTGGACAATATGCTATACAATGTGTATAGTGCCATGAAATGTACTAAGGAATTATGGTATCTTTGGAGAAAAAGCACAAGACTGAAGATGCCTTTACAAAGAGGTTAGTAGGCAAGTTTTGAATCTATAAGATGGTAAATTCTAAAATAGTGATTAGTTAGATACAATAATTGTAAGTTCTTCTTCATGATATTCATGATGAGAATATGTCTCTCACTAAAACTATTCAAGTGGTTGCAATTGTTGAAAAGTTACTTTCTATGTGGAAAGATTTCAAGAATTATCACAAATACAAGCACAAGCAGATGAATATTGAAGAACTTAGTGTCCGATTGAGGATTAAAGAAGTCAACAGGAAGTCTTGGAGGCCATTTTTCACATAAAAGGCTAATGTAGAGGACACTAATTCGAAAAACAAGAAAATGAAGCAGCTTGGAGACTCCTCTAAGTAGGGTAATAACAAGAATGCAAAGAAGTTCAAGGAAAACTGTATAGCATAAATAAGATTGCCAATAATAGAGACATAAGGCATCTTAGCTCACTCTTGTTCTGTAGAGGGTGACTAGTCATTTGATAGCCTAAAGTGATTAGTCAAATGAGTGCTAACTGATTTTCCATCATTCCACTAAACATACTTGGAACCTTATTTAGATTCTCTTCCTACGACCATTTCAAAAAGTTAATGTCTTTAGTAATTTTCATTCCAAGGATTTATTTTGTAATATTCAAGTTCTTCATTACAAACTTGTTAGCACATGCAATCAACATGTTATCAACATATGGTAGCAAGATAATACAGAAGTTACCCAGACTCTTTACAGAACAACAATGATCTCCTAGACATTTTCTAAAGCCATTACTACTTATAAAGATATCGAAGTTCTTATATCACTATTCTGGAACTTGTTTAAGAGCATATAAACCCTTTAGAGACCAAATACCATTTTCTCATTTTCTTGTACTTCAAAATCTTATGGCTGTATCATGTAAATTTCTTCCTCCAAATTACTATAAAAAAAGGCTATCTTTACGTCTATTTTGCTCTAACAGCTGAATCAACAACAACTACCATGTTTTTATAATTGAAAGTAATGTAAAAAGTTCCAAATTTATTTCATCGAGCAACAACCATTGTTCATTTAGTAAATTTTCAAGCACCACCACTGAAAGTCACATTATGACCTTCATCATCATGTTGTCTAACTAAGATCAGATTATACATCAGTTTAAGTACATGCTTCACCTCATAAACAATCCAAAAAGACCGATTTGATATCCTCAAGTTGACATCACCAATACCAACTATATCAATTGGTTCTCTATTAGCAAGATATATCTTTCCATAATTCTCAGCAACATAGTTTCCCATTATCTTATGATGTACAATGGTATGAAAAGAAGCTCCTAAACTATCACCCAAGAATCAATAGGACTATAAATCGACAAAAGTAAAGCGTCTCACACTTCTTCAATTATTGCATAAGCATTGTTATTCTTTTCTTCCTTCTTCTTTGATACTCTACAATTCGTCTTTATATGGTCAGTGTTGTCGCAGTTTTAGCATTCTACATTCTTTTTAGATATGGACATGCTTCCACCATAGTTTTTATTGAATTTTTTCTCGAAACTCCTTTCCATATTCTCGACATTAAGGGCAGAACTTGATATTGAGATTTCTTTTGAATCTCTTTTGCAAACTTTTTCAGTGAAAATAATATCACAATCATCTCTAAATTTCAATTTCGCATTGGCGATAGTGTTATTGACCGTAGTTTTCATAGGCTCCTAACTATTCGATAGTGATGTCAATAGGATTGGGTACAAAATTCATCATCAAATTCAATCTCGATTGAAACAAACTAAATCACAATTGTATTCAATTTCTAGTTTGTTCTTCTGCTCGAGCATCTTCAGGCATTTTCAAATTAAATAATTTTTTCATTAAATGTACCTTATTTTATGCAAATGGCTTCTCATGCATATTAGACAGCACCTTTATCAAATTTGTCATGGTTTTCTTATTTGTCATTTTGTGACCAACGTTCTTAAATAGTGTCAATTGGATAACACTCAATACTTAACAATCAAGTAGTTTCCATTTATGTCCTCCACTTCTTCCAACTTTTCATTCAAAAGAGAATGATGTAGTTTTTACTATAAATAATTCTCGACTCCCTTTCTTCAGAATGCAAAATCCATATTATCAAATTTGCAGATCCCCAACGAAGTTCTTTCTTCCCTAGTCATTGCTCTCAATAATAGGAAAAAGCACTTATACCAATTGTTGAGAATTATAAATTTAATTTTATTTCATCATGAGCAATCAATTTGAAGGAATTAAAAATAAACACACAAAATATATAGATGGTTGCTTCAATGTAAGATTAAGTTCTCTCCTATTGCTGTAGTAATACACTATCATTAAAAAAATTTTACAAAATAAAATTATGTAATTCTATCTTCTCTGACTTCCATTTCTCTCTTTCCGATGATAATTATAAAGCCTAACCACGGATTCCTAGTTATAAGATAAATTAAGGCAAAATAGGAATTTGAAAAGATTTTAATTTTTTAATAGAATTTTACAAGACTACAAATTTCTAAACAATCTTTAGATTAAATATTGATCTGCAGTCAGCTTCGTGAAAGTGACAATAATTAGTATCGACAATAAATTCGATTCCACAACTTAATCATATTGTCACATATACTTGATAAGAAATAAAGTTCAGTCTTTGGAAGTGTTTAAACACAATAAGAATGAGGTTGAAAACCAACTTGGCAAATGGAAAAATATTATTCGTAGTGATCAAGATGGAGAATATGTAGCATCATTTGAGAAATGTTGTTTAGAATTTGGTATTATACATCAAATTACTGCTCCATATTCACCTCAATCAAATGGCGTTATTGAAGGCAAGATCATTCTCTTAAAGAAATAATGAATTCTAGGTTGATCAATTATGGTTTACCCAAAATTTAGTCGAATGAAGCAATCCTTTCAGCAAATCATATTTTGAATAAGATACCACATAAAAGTAAGATTAAAACTCTGTATGAGTTATGGAAATGTCGAAAGCCTTTATACAAATACTTAAAAGTGTGGGATTTTTAGCTAAGATACAAGTACCTAAGTCTAAATTGGTTAGTGTTGGACCTAAAATAACTGATTTAATGTTATATATGCGAATAATAGTATGCACATCGATTCCTTGTTCATAATAAAAAATTCATGATGTACATGAAGGTATTATAATTGAATCGTCCGTCATGACATTTCCACTTAAGTGCTCATTTTTACAACGGATTGTTTTGTTTATTTTGACGTGTATGGATGAGATACAAATTTATGAGTCAATATATGGTTTTGATATAAAGTCGAGTTCATGGATGATTTGATAAATGAATATGGTACATGTATGATTTTGATGCAAGAAGTAAAATTCACATACCATTTCCAAAATTAGCTTTTCAAGTGCCAGCATATCATTGCCATGTAGGAAATCCATTTGCCATGTGGATTATTCCATTAGTTTTGATTTACGGAAGTTAATCCATGTATAGATGAGATACAAATTTGTTATTTCATTTATGATTATGTTACAAGGTTGAATTAATGTATAAATTTTGATACATGAGTTAAAACATTATGTAACGTTCACATATTTAATATTTTACTGACTTCATATTGGAGATTGAGCTACTGTTTGATACATACATGTATATATTTTTTTAATCAAATGTTTTCAACCATAGACTATCTCAGTAGAATAATTTGTAGGTAAATCCGTAAGAGAAAAAAATATAAAAAAGAAAGAAAACAGAAAAATCTAATTGGTTAGTTGTCATCTAGACTTGCAGTAGTGGTCTTTCATTGCCTTTTCCTCTTATTTTCATATTATATATTTCTTTATTCTTCAATGAATAACATATTGTCACCCACCCAAGGAGACGCTCCGTTTGCCGATTTCGAGCCAATCAGTCTCCCTTCTTCTGTCTCGTCATCTTCCTTCACGCAAATCAACTTTTGGTGCCTCTCATGATCATTCCATGGTCCAATAAGTGAACAAGAAATTTTTTCAATAGTTTACTTTCTCACAGAAGAAATCAGAGATATTGTTGCTTATTCACTCTGTCTTCGATTCATCTTCTTTTTAAGTTGTTAGATAGTAAATGATTCGCTCTGTCCACTCTTTAGGGTTTCATTTTTCTCCAACTGTTTCTGGAGCTCTTAATTGATTTTAGGGTTGACGATTTTGATCTTTACTCATTTGGGCTTGTCGGGATATGGATGAATATAATCAACTGGGTGAAAACGCGTCTTCAAGGGGTAGTTTCTTGTATGGCGGACCAATTCTTGCACCAAGTTCTTCTTTATATGGAAGAACAAACAGTGGATCGAATAATCAGCAAAGCCAGTTGCCAATTAACAATTTTCATCTTCAATCAAGTGATTGCTACGATCAATCTGAAGGGCAAGGTCATACTTCTGTAAAAACTGAAGCTGGGACTTCCCAAATTCATGCTTCCAAGTTTCACTACCCTTCTGTAATTAGAGGGCACTACTCGGTTCAAGATCATCGCCCAAGGCAACAAGAAAGTGAGAATTCTAGTGAAGTTGATGCCATTAAAGCCAAGATTATTGCTCATCCTCAGTACTCCAATCTTTTGGAAGCATATATGGATTGTCAAAAGGTAACCTTTCATCGTTGAGTGCAAGAATAGAAAGTAATACGATTCTGAGTGAAATAATTCATTATCTTTGTTTACACACTTTATCTAGGTGGGCGCTCCGCCGGAGGTGGTGGCTCGGCTCACGGAGGTCCTCCAAGAGTTTGAGACAAGACAGCGAGCTTCAGCGGCCAGTAGAGATGTGTCAAAAGACCCAGAACTTGACCAATTCATGGTAAATAATTTATTTACATGATTTATCATCAAGATTTCGTGCTATTTGGGATTTGACAGATTTGATCTCTAAATTCTGATACATGTATAGGAAGCTTACTATGACATGCTGGTGAAGTACCGTGAGGAGCTTACAAGGCCTTTACAAGAAGCTATGGAATTCATGCGAAGGATTGAAACGCAACTGAACATGCTGACAAGTGCTCCCGTTCGGGTTTTCAATTCTGGTATTTTCATTTTTCACTTTTGTTACTTCTTAGAGAGAGAGAAGGAACCCATCATCGTCTTTGCCTAGCATGGAGAATTGTAGTTTTGAGTCCCAAAGTCGAGTGTTTTGCCGTGATTGAATGTGGTTGTGCAGTGCAAAGCAAAACTGCTAGTTGAAACTGTCGAGTCTTAAAAATTTGAGTATGTTGACCATCCAGTGCCCACCAAAACTTTGTAAAATATACATCCATCATTTTCCAATACCTTGCACAAGAACCAAAAACCCTAATCACGAGTCTATAGTAATAAGATATGATTTGGTTCCATTATATAATAAACAATGATAGGAAATAAGACAAAAAAAATCCTTCTTCTATATAAACAATGATGAAATTACACGTTTGCTGTCAGAATTATTATTAATGTAGTTTTTAGTTCCCCTTATCCCACCATCTTTGCCTTGGTTTATTATATGCATATCTTCTTTTTTATTTTAGGCCATGACATGAAAACATAGGATGCTGTTGATATCAGTGCTACCCCTTGTAGCCTGTACCATTATGTCAGAATTTGTGTTCATTCCATCTTTTCGTTGCTATTGCTATAAACTATTCCTGTCTGATTTGTTCATCGTCGTTTCAAATCCGTTTTCATCCTCTCCCCAAACTCATTTCCATAAAAAACAAGTCTTAATATTTTATTAATTATTCCCACTAAACCTATACCCTCTTCCAACAGCCATAAATAATTAAAAATTTGCAATTTTACATGGAGTTTTATTCCATTCTTTCTCTCAATACCAATTTGATGTCATTGAGCATGCCAATTTGAACATGTTTATCCAATTATGGGCAATCATGTTTATTATCTTCATCAATCTAGTGGAACAAGTTCTTGCTACAATTGAGCATGAATATTTAAAAAAGTTTTAATTTACATGTCCAGTTTTACTAATTTTGATGGCATACTAGGTCTCAAACTCTGTTGTCATGTTCGACAGTCAAGATTTAACATTTTACAAATACTCGATGAAGTGTGGTATGAAAATGTTTGATCACAATTGGTCGAACTTAAGAAACATGTTCAAATGCTGTTCAACGAATATGTTAAATTGGTAGATTCTACTACATCTTCCAGGGCACAGCCTAACCACAATCTTCCCTTGTTGTCACTATACCGTGACTGAACATGTTGCTGCTGCTATCTATCTCAACTTTTTGAGGCCCACCTCTTTTCCCAAGCCTTTGCAATAGAAACATTTATCTACAAAGACCTGTCATTTCTTGTAATTGACTCTCTCTATTTACCACCCGAACGCACTTACATTAAAACCTTATAAATATTGTGGGAGTATTTTATTAGCTGGTGTGGGATATTAATTAACTTGTATATGATCTTTAGCTCCTTCTGGTATTTTTATATCTGAAGTTGAGCTAGCAGGTTAAATAAGAAAATAGATAGTAGTGAGGGAGATGTCAACAAACTATCCGACCACTGAGAGCTGGAGTGTAGAGTAGCTGAGGCTAAAACTGTGAGGTTTGAACTTTGATTTATCGAAAATATAGTTGAAAAGTTCAATGCATAAACTTTTCTTTCATGCGAATTCTTCCAAAATCTTTGGGCTTTGTTACAAATTATTTTCAGTTTTACATTTTCAAAAATCTCACGGTCTTTGTATTTTTGGAGAATATGCATTAATGTCGACCTATTTCACTATCATTTCCGTGACATGCATTGAATTTACAGTGAACTAGAATAACAGATACAAATGGAATAATCCATTGGTATTATATAATTTGTTGGTCAATTATCGACATGAAATAATTGTAAACACATTTGGGCCCTGTTTGAGCCACATTATTTGGAAAAAATATATTTTTAAAGAGTGATTTGATATTATTTCAATCACATATTTTTCAATAAAATAATATTACACGCAAATTCAAAATTTTTCCTTATTTTTTAACCAAACATTTTTCATCAATCTACTATTCTAAAATACATACTTCAAATATAATGTGGTTCAAATACACACTTGATCATATTTCGCTTTGGGGTCTCTACTGATAGATCTTCAGCTTGGTGTCAATAGTAATGGCATTATATATATTGTCACCAATGACAATACATCTATCGTATTTTGTTAGAGATAATAGTTTTATTGATTTTTTGCTGGTAATTTATCAATGTCAATAATTCAAATATAATTTACCATTTGGAATTTGAAGTCACAAATCTCTATGATGTTAAAATTATTTTTACATTAATATTTTAAATTATTTTAAATTTGCGTAAAATATGTAGAGAGTAAAAAATATGCAAACAAAAAAAATGGAACTTTAAAGTATCAAATGATTTACAAATTTTTATTACAGAAAAAGGGAAAATATAAATCAAAAGATCAAATAATTAGAAAATCTAAGACATGATTATCAGTGGACCTGAAGGAGTGGCTGATAGATCTGACAAAGAATTTACCTCCATTTGTTCCTTTAAGTTTAAACTTAAGAATGCTAATGGGATATTAGCATTCATTTAAGTTTTGGAAGAGATGGAGCACATGACTACTAGGAAAAGCTTTTACTGGAGCATCACAACTTACATTCTTATTTCGACAGATAGAATGAAAGAAAAGTTGGTCCCGTTTGTGAGTGATTTTTCACCCAAAACAATTGATTTTTTGACTGTTATTTCATTATTTCAGCCGTAATTTTTGACTTTTTCTCTCACAGGTGGCCTCCATTTTTCTCGTAACGGTCAAAAAATCAATTTTCAAAATCACTCCCGAACAGGCCCGCTATCTAGTTCTATGGGATGCATACTTTTTCATTTAGTTCAACATTATGTTATTATCCTCCATCATAGTTACAGAATATTATTTTTATTTTTATTTTTTTTCCAGTTTGATTATCAACAATTTTTTTTTTTTGGTTAAAGAAAAAAATTGTTTTCTGATAATATTATGTTAGGAAATTCACAAGAAACAGAATGGCATTTATCTACCCTCTCTAGTGATTTGGCAGTTTGCTGTTTACTCAAGTGAATGCCTCCCAATGTGTTCTCCACATAGGAAACATTATAGGAAAAGAAAAATCTCACAAGGTAATTGTTGTTTATTAAAATCCAGTCACTCTCTCTTGGCCAGATGCAATCTTGACAGTAGCTAGAGCCTAGAATAGGCAATTTTAATTTGACAAACAACCCTCCATTTGCAAATTTTCAATCAAAGTATTAAGATATGTAAATATTCCAAAGAGGATTGTGTTAAAATTATTTCATTATTTTTAGTAAATTAAGGTAGTCCACAAAAAAACTGTGAAGTGCACATAAACTGATTGGGGACATAATCAGCTCAATAGATGTTATAGAAACATTAGAAGTTTAGAAGGTCTGAAACACTTTGGCATGATCGCCTTCCTGCTAGGCAGGTGCTTCTGAACAGCCTGTATTTTGCATAACCATGCTATTGCTGTTTCCCCAGTTGTTCCATTAGCTGTCACCACACAAATATAAGCTTAAATTGGTGTTGGTTGTGGTTAGCAATGGGGTGAAAGAGTAGATATGCAGGTTTCTTTCGCTTGACTTTTTGTTGAGGGAAAGTCGTCTATCCCTCTCTTCTGTCTTACTACTGTGTTTTGTTGTGCCGATATCTGTTTTGGGATGGCCGTTTGTTTTAGAACGATCATTGAAGTGTGGTGGCTGTTCTTGCATTGAAGTTCAACAGCTAAGGGTTGAAATTCTATTAATAAAATTGTGTAGGGAAAATAAATGCCTAGTGTTTTGATTTGCAGTGCTATTTTTAGACTGTTGCCTGTCTGTTTATCACATACTTTCCAATAACTTGTCCATATATTTCATCTTTTGTTATATTGGAATCAATGGACAAAGCAGAGGAGAAGTGTGAGGGTGTTGGTTCATCTGAAGAAGATCAAGATAATAGTGGTGGAGAAACCGAACTTCCTGAGATTGATCCACGCGCTGAAGACCGTGAACTGAAGAACCACTTATTGAGAAAATATAGTGGATATTTAAGTAGTTTAAAACAAGAACTTTCCAAGAAAAAGAAGAAAGGAAAACTACCCAAAGATGCCCGACAGAAGCTACTTAGCTGGTGGGAATCACACTATAAGTGGCCATATCCATCGGTACTTAATCATGCTTAAATTTTATGCTTTTGAGTTCAAATGTCTGGATATTTTCTTTCTTATGATTTGTGAAAATTATTTGTCTTGCTTCTTTTTGATCTTTGCAAATTAAACAGGAGTCAGAGAAAGTGGCATTGGCTGAATCAACTGGTTTGGACCAGAAACAGATAAACAACTGGTTCATTAACCAAAGAAAACGACACTGGAAACCTTCGGAAGACATGCAGTTCATGGTGATGGATGGCCTCCATCCACAGAATGCAGCCCTTTACATGGAAGGTCATTATATGGGTGAAGGTCCTTACAGGTTGGGGCCATGATGCATAACCAGGTTATGGAGGGAGTACACGGTTTGGGGACTAAGGTTGCATCGGGGTAGTTCTATTTTCAGACATGGCATGAAAGTTGTAGCTCTGCCGTTTGGTCCAATTGCAATAATTGGATACACATCTTTGACAGCCCAAGCTGATATATATTATTGTTACAAGTATCAGTATCACTAAATACTATTTGCGTTCGTTTCTGAACTTGAATGTCATTTGCTTCCTGATCTGTCGAAGATGTTGGTGCTTTTATTTTTCTGTGTGGCTAAGTTATGTATACACTTGAGAAAGTATATGCAATATGAAGCATTTGTAGTGTATTGAAGGGTTGTATTATTCTTCCAGTTCAATTATATATATCATTGAAAAGCTCCTGCTTTCTGCCTTTTCTTTCTAATTGTCTCGCTTACGTATTCCTCGAAAAGATGCTCATATTTTCAAAGCATCTCCAGGACCTTATGAGCGAGACCTTGAAGGCCTGTCTTATCAATGTGAGACAGCTTCACAATGTTTCTGCCTGTATATTTCTATGATCAGTAACGGTGCCCTTTTAGCTCATGGGAAATGATAATCATCTTCTTTTCTTAGTTTTTCTAATGCAGATGCGTATAGATGTGTTCAAAAGCTGAAGGTACTGCGAGATGAAAGTTTTCTGTCCATGGGAAGATGTGCTACTCAGATTTGTGGGTGTGTTGATAAGAGACTGCGCGACCGGCTAAAGATGTTCCCACATATTTGATCGAACAACAAATATCTGATCGAGATGTAACCCTTTAGACAAAGTTATTCCATTTAATAGAGTAGACCATTTAAAAAAAAAATTCAACTTCCAAGATGGAATCTTTAATGTAAGGATTTTTGGGGCCATTCGCTGAAGAAGATTCAGATCTAGAATAAGAGGGTTTACACATGCAGATTGTTATGGAGGTACAAACAATCAAAACTCAACAATAATGGAGGACCTCCTAAATGGAAGAATGGTGGCCGAGAATTATGCTAGACGGTGAAAACCAATCCATATCCATTCGGTCGTAGCGTGCTGAAACCATTTTGATCATTCCATACAATTCAAAGATCATCTTCAGAATGTCCCCTTCAAGGACAAACCTGAGGTCATGCGGGAGAAGCACTGTATATAATTTAAGAAATTTTTTATAAGGATTTTTTTAAAAAAAAAATATTAAAGGGCACAAATTTTAAGAGGGGAAAAAAAAAAAAAAAAAAAAAAACCTCCAGCCGTCAAAAAGTTGGTCTATTTAAAAATTATACCCAGTAAATAAGCAAAAACAAAAAATTGATATACACACTAAAATACTAAAAAACTATAATTAGAATATGATCAATAAATAAGCAAAAGGGGAAAAAAAGAGAGATAAATTACTATATTTGTATCAACAACCTCTCTAAAAATTTACTCCACTTTGCAGCAAAGAATAAGTTTATCACGAATATGATAAAAACTAGTCATGTCTAAATTGCAGATCTTTCACAAAATTCTTCACATGATTCTTTTCAATCCTCATTCGAACTATGATGATGACATAAAAGGATCTAAAGAAGGTAATGTGCTAATTTTAAAATATTGTTATCTGTGAATTGGTATTAAATTTCGATTTTTTATATTTTTTTATATATATTTTTATAATTATTTCAGTCTATATTTTAGTTGTCTTTTAGTAAATAAAGTAATTTTTTTGAAAGCTGATAACTTGTTAGTTTTTGAGAAACTTACAAAATTTAATAGATAAAGAACTTTAAAAGGAATGAAGGAGATCACTCAATGTCCAATCTCACTTCTAAAAGAAATGAATGCTGCAATCCGTAATTTCATGTGGACAGGCTGTAAGGATTTTCGACTCAAAACCCACAAGCAATCGTAATATAGTAAAAAACAAAGCAAGAACTAAAATCGAACATGCAAATTGTTCATCCAATTCAACCAAACACGGCCTAATTTGAGGGGTTCAGAGGTAAGCACGTCATTAACAAGAAACCTTCAAGAGAATGTACAAACAGTTGAGAAAACCAAATCAAACCCACTATATGGTCATCGATCCACAAGGATCTCTCAATAACTTGAACCCTAGCCCACAAGACTAGACAGAACCTTGCCAAGAATACAATACAGGTTTACTAGCCACAATCAAAGCCTAGAACACTATACAAACGTTCTACCATCATCAGATAACTACAAAGATTATTACAAAACCACCAAAAATCTCCAGATCTAAGAAGAAAAGAAGAACAGATGCGATAGAACAAGAGAGAGAAAACCCAAAAGACTATTGACCGATTGATTGAAGACCCAATGCCTCAAAAGTCTCCAAAGGCATTAATAATGGAAGACTAACTCTCAGCCTTAGGATTAGATCAATGGTCCACAATAGGCAAGAGAAAGCGCAACTCTAAGTGACCATCAATTAGCTAATGCCCAAGTGCCTACTGTCCATAGGAGTACAAGTGGGAAAAATCTCACTTTTACTCATGAAAGTGTGGTTTGAGAAACATAATTCCACAATTCTTTACCTTGGTTCTCAAACTGCGCACTTCCTCTCTTGTTGCCATAATGCTAGCGAAGAAACCACACCCTACATCATCACCCTAGTACCAGCACAAAAATCAACCTGTATCAATATTAAGCAAGAATTTCGATTTTTTATATTTTTTTATATATATTTTTATAATTATTTCAGTCTATATTTTAGTTGTCTTTTAGTAAATAAAGTAATTTTTTTGAAAGCTGATAACTTGTTAGTTTTTGAGAAACTTGCAAAATTTAATAGATAAAGAACTTTAAAAGGAATGAAGGAGATCACTCAATGTCCAATCTCACTTCTAAAAGAAATGAATGCTGCAATCCGTAATTTCATGTGGACAGGCTGTAAGGATTTTCGACTCAAACCCCACAAGCAATCGTAATATAGTAAAAAACAAAGCAAGAACTAAAATCGAACATACAAATTGTTCATCCAATTCAACCAAACACGGCCTAATTTGAGAGGTTCAGAGGTAAGCACGTCATTAACAAGAAACCTTCAAGAGAATGTACAAACAGTTGAGAAAACCAAATCAAACCCACTATATGGTCATCGATCCACAAGGATCTCTCAATAACTTGAACCCTAGCCCACAAGACTAGACAGAACCTTGCCAAGAATACAATACAGGTTTACTAGCCACAATCAAAGCCTAGAACACTATACAAACGTTCTACCATCATCAGATAACTACAAAGATTATTACAAAACCACCAAAAATCTCCAGATCTAAGAAGAAAAGAAGAACAGATGCGATAGAACAAGAGAGAGAAAACCCAAAAGACTATTGACCGATTGATTGAAGACCCAATGCCTCAAAAGTCTCCAAAGGCATTAATAATGGAAGACTAACTCTCAGCCTTAGGATTAGATCAATGGTCCACAATAGGCAAGAGAAAGTGCAACTCTAAGTGACCATCAATTAGCTAATGCCCAAGTGCCTACTGTCCATAGGAGTACAAGTGGGAAAAATCTCACTTTTACTCATGAAAGTGTGGTTTGAGAAACATAACTCCACAATTCTTTACCTTGGTTCTCAAACTGCGCACTTCCTCTCTTGTTGCCATAATGCTAGCGAAGAAACCACACCCTACATCATCACCCTAGTACCAGCACAAAAATCAACCTGTATCAATATTAAGCAATGATAAACAAGATCTGAATTTATTAACATGCAGTATTTTACTCCCCATATCAGTAGGGTTAAAGTCATTATGAATTTTCTCAAGAATCATTTTTCCAGATGAGAGTTTTTCTCTTATGAAATGATACTTTACCTCAATGTGTTTTGACCTTTCATGATAGTCAAGATTTTTGCTTAAAAGTAGAGCACTTTGACTATTAATTAATATCACAGGTGGAGTATTCAGAAAATTCAGTTTAGTCAAGATCCTTTTAAGCCTACGCATTCAGCTTCAGTGTTGGACAAAGTTACAATTGATTGAAGTTGAGACTTCCAAGTAATAAAATTATCACCAAGTGTAAAAAAGAAGGCAGTTGTTGACTTTCTTTGATCTTTATCTCCAGCGAAATCAGAATCTACATAACCTTTAAGAGTTAATGGTTCTGATCCCTTTTTGAACATCAATCCTACATTTAGTGTCCCAGCTATGTATCTAAGTAGCCACTTTAACCCAGCCTAGTGCAGTTTCCCAGGGTTTGCCATAAACCTACTTAAAAAACTGATTGAATATGCAAGATCTAGTCATGTTGTAATCATGGAAAACATAATATATCCAATAGCATTGGCATATGGAATATTTGTCATATCTTTAATCTCAAATTCAGTTTTAGGATACTGGGCAGATGAGAGATTCATATGGATAGCAAGGGGAACATTGACGGACTTAGCTTCTTTCATGCCAAACTTCTTTATAACTTTGTGCAGGTAGGGTTCTTAGGTGATCTAGTTAGCATATTTTCTTGCCTATTTCAATTTATCACCATCCCTAAAATTTTCTTGGCATTTTCCAAGTCACTCATATCAAATTCAGAGCTTAATAGATTTTTCAGCCTCATTATTTCAGCTTTATTGGGGCTGGCCAGAAGCATATCATCTACATAAAGTAGTAGATATATCTCAATGCCGATTTTAGAGTTATTATAGTATAAGCAATGGTCATATTCACTCCTTCTAAAACCAATTTTCAAAACATGTGTCAAACCTTATATACCACTGTCTTGGACTTTGTTTGAGTCCATACAAATATTTTTGTAATTTACAAAAAAAATCAGATTTCCCCTTTTCTTTGAAACCTTGTGGATGACACATGTGAATGCCCTCTTCCAATTCCCCATGTAATAAGGTAGTTTTCACGTCTAATTGTTCAAGTTCCCAATCAAATTGAACAGCTAGAGCCAAAATGAGTCTTATGATTTTATATTTGCTTACAGGTGAAAATTTTCATTATAATCAACTTCCTCTCTTTGAGTGAACCCTTTGGCTACAAGCTTTGCCTTATTCCTCAAAGGGTCAGAATCTGAAATCCCTTCTTTCAACTTAAAGATCCTTTTATTTTCAAGAAGGGATTTCATTTCTTTTTTCATTGGTTCTTTCCATTCTTTTGACTTAGAACTATTCATAGCTTCTTCATAAGATAGGTGGTTTAGAATGTTCGAAGTTTTCATCAGAGATGAAGATAAATTCAATCAAATTATTCATTTCATACCTAGGGTTAGATTTAATCTGTCTCCTTTCCCTATCTCTCACCAATTGATAATCTTGGGTACTAGCTTCATTTCCCAGGTAGTTAGATGCTACATTTTCAGATTTTGTTTTAGTTTCTGTTTGGGGTAGATTAACTTTACTTTCATTAGTGTTTTCTACACTTT